ATGTAACCTATGTGTCCATCCCCAGCATGTTATCCTATGTGTCCATCTCCGGCGTGTTCTCCTATGTGTCCATCCCCCGGCATGTTATCCTATGTTACCATCTCTGGCGTGTTATCCTATGTGTCCATCCCCGGCATGTTCTCCTATGTGTCCATCCCTGGCATGTTATCCTATGTGTCCATCCCTGGCATGTTATCCTATGTGTCCATCCCCAGCATGTTCTCCTGTGTGTCCATCTCCGGCATGTTCTCCTATGTGTCCATCCCCAGCAATGTTTTCTCCTGTGTGTCCATCCCCAGCATGTTATCCTATGTGTCCATCTCCGGCGTGTTATCCTATGTGTCCATCCCCCGGCATGTTCTCCTATGTGTCCATCCCCGGCATGTTATCCTATGTGTCCATCCCCGGCATGTTATCCTATGTGTCCATCCCCGGCATGTTATCCTATGTGTCCATCCCCCCCGGCATGTTATCCAATGTGTCCATCCCCGGCATGTTATCCTACGTGTCCATCCCCAGCATGTTATCCTATGTGTCCATCCCCGGCATGTTATCCTACGTGTCCATCCCCGGCATGTTATCCTATGTGTCCATCCCCGGCATGTTATCCTATGTGTCCGTGCACACATAGACTGTAATCAACGTTTTTTGGCAGGGACGTTTTTTAGCAGGATTAGTGGATTTCTAGAGGAGTTTTCTAGCTGTAAAAACCGCTCTAAACGCTGAAAAACGTGTCATAACGTGGTAAAACACAGCAAACCGGCATTTTTGGAATTTTTTTTGACCCAAAAAATAATTTTTTGGGTCAAAAAAAACTAAAAAAAAAACGCGAAAACATGGGGAAAAAGCCGCTAAACTAGGCAAAACGCAGCTAAACGCCAATGCAAAAATGCTAAAAAAAAAAGCCTAAAAAACTCACGCTTTTAATGTGACTTTACACAGCCAATGTTACCAGCGTTATGAAAACATCCAGTGTGCGTGAGGACTTAAAACTCTAATGCCGGTAAACTGCAGTAAAATGTGGAAAACTGGCATTTTAGTGTTTTTGGGCCAAATTTTTTTTTTGTGCTAAAAGAAGGCTAAAAACTGCTAACACAGAAAAATGTGGCAAAATTTGGCTAAAAGCTAATGCAAAAACACTAAAAAACATGGAAAAAACTTGCATTTTAATGAGACTGTATACAGATAATGCTACTGACACTTGTTTGTTTTGTTAGTTTTGTCCTGTTTTGTTTGACTCATTTTATACTTTGTATCTAAGTTAACCCCGCAGGCGGTATTCCCTGAGTGTAGCTCGGGGTGAAGTTTCAGTTCCAGAAGCGGTGACCCCGAGCTACACTTGGGAATACACTTCAGCGTTGCTCAGGGATTTCCTGCAGCACTTACCTTGTCCTGCGCTCCTGCACCGCGATGTCCCCCCTGCTGCAGCGTCCCCTGCAGTGTCCCCGGCCATCTCCTCTGGCCGATGCCGGCATCCGTTTACAGGGGTTCCGTTCCCTGCGATGTCGGGACGTACGGGGCCAGAACCGGCTGGAAATTTGAAAATTTTAAAAACTGACATTTTCTAATAAACTAAAATCACATAGTATAACATTCCTGTATCAAAAACCATTTCACATACATTTTGTCCCGAGTGCTTTGTCCTGCGCCCTGCCTGCATTTTTACTGTTCTTTCTGCCTGGAAACTGAGAAACGTCCATGGTGTTCCAAAAAGCGTCCCTTTAGGTCAAAATCGGTTTTTAGACCGGCTAGAGAACAGCGATAGTAAATCAGAACCACTTGCAGAATTGAGTGATAATGATTTCGTGGGGGAAATTCCTCATCAGACACTGAAAACGATTCTGCGACTGAGCTCAGCGATGTGCGAACTTGGCGCTCTATTTCACATTTCAGTGTTTTTGGTTTGATTATATTATTGAATTACATTTATTATTATATTATTATTTTTTATGATTATTTATTACATTCTAATTTATGATTTCGTGTTTCAAGTTTAATCATACCCGGGATGTTTACTAGACTCTTGTTCGGACAGATTTCAGTGAGTTATTCCTAAAAATTACATGCCGACAATAAAAAAACAACAATATTTCCATGCAAAAAAATGTACCGCTTTGAGCACAGAAATATGGACATAATCAGACCGCTAGGGAGGTTAATGATTGTTTTGGAATGAATAATACACTTTTTATTTCTCTTACCAGTCCCTTTTTTTGTCTGCATGTGGGTGGTGAGTGATTTATTCTACACCTGGTGAAGCAGCCATGGATTGGTCAGTAGAGTTTTTAAAGTGGTTTTAAAGGCTGAAGGTTTTTACCTGTATGCATTTTACACAGCAGCCCCCAAGCCCCCCCTGTAATACCTGAGCCCGATCTCGGTCCTGCGATGTGCACAGGAGATGCCGCTTTCCCGGGCCTCTCCCTCCTCATTGGCTGAAGCACAGCAGCGGGAGCCATTGGGTTAAAACTGCTTCTCATCCAACTTCATTGAGTGGCCGCGTGTCTTCTTGAGACAGTTTCCTCCCTATGCTGGAATCATTATTTATATATTTGTATTTTGTTATCATTTCTCCTTTTAAGCGTCTCTTCTCCAGGGAGAATACGATTAATGTTTGCAGCCGTTCCTCATAATTGAGGTCCTCCATAAACATTGTTTCCCTTCTCTGGACTCTCTCCAACTCAAGTACATCTTTCCTGAGAACTGGTGACCAGAACTGGACAGCATACTCCAGATATGGCCGAAGCAAGGTTTTGTAAAGTAGTGGAATTATCACTTTATCTCTTCAGTACAGTGGTGTGTATTTTAGGTTTCATGCTTCCTTAGGCAACACAAAAATTGGCTCCCTCCCCACGGAGAGACCCTGACACAAACCAATACCCCCCCGTCCCCCTTGAAGAGAGCCTGACATTGACCAACAAGACCCTAGCCCCCTCCGAGTGAGCCTTCCACTTCCACCCCCCCCCCCCCCATACACTGTTAACCCACCCCGAGAGAGAGGGAAGAGATTCCAGGGAACAAGAGTCAGGCTCTACATACACCATCAAGCAGCCCACAGCCTCTCTCAGATCCCACCTGGTCCCCATGCTGCGTGTGTCCCTTCTTCCATCCCTTCTTTCGGGGGGCAGCGCTGCCCCCATGAAAAATGCCACCCTAGGCAAATGCCTTGTTTGCCTTGTCGTAAATACGCCCCTGCTTCAGTAGATATACTTTTTTTATGCATACTGATATTCTGCTGGCCTTTCTTGCTGCAGCTTGGCATTGATGAGTCGCTCATTAAAAAATAAAATAGCACCCAATATTATAGACCCACCCACCAACACATGCTTTTTTTCTGGTATGAAAGGTTTTTACCCATGCAATAAATGTGTCATTTGCAAATGTGGTGGAGCCCGAAAGAGAATGAGAGATACTTTTACATCTAACTCTACTGGCAAACTTTACCATTTGGATTCTCTGATCACTTGCAGGAAGAACGCCTGTACTGTACCTTCTTGAATGCCCATGCAAGAAGCAATACATCGCCAGGACAACAAGAAGGTTAAGAGACAGATTAAGGGAACACGTTTACAATATCAGGAAAGGAATGAAAGGAACCAGGGGTGGACTGACCATTTGAGCACTCGGGCACTGCCTGAGGGCCTGGGTCAGTAGGGGGCCCCATGAGATGCCCCTGGTACCTTTTCTATAGGCTTTTTTGGGTGTGGGCAAGGACACGGGGGCCCCATGATCCCCTATTGCCCGGGGGCCCCATGAGTTGTCAGTCCGCCCCTGGAAGGAACATTTCCTTTCTAAGCATTTTAGATACCATTATCACAGAGACCCCTCAGTCCTGAGCTTTATGGGCATTGATTTATTCCGTCCACACTGGAGAGGCAATAATAAGCGCCCGAGCAGTATCCATGCTTGAGACCAGGTGGATTTTTGAGATACAAACCCTAGAGCCCAAAGGACATAATATCGATATTGATATTAATTGTTTTATAGACAACAGTTGAATCATCTCTTGTTCCTCTTCACATGCGGTTTTTATCAACACATTTTTTATAGATATTCTTTGATCACTGTGGTGGTTTCTCTCTACCATAAGTCGAGATTTTAAGTGCCTTTGTTTTATTTTATTTACACCATCTGTGCCTCATACATTTGTCTTATCAGTAGGACTTATTCCATTGACCCGCAGGATTTATTCCCCTGTGTCTATAGTGGTGGTTATGTCCGTATAATAATTTTTTTATATATTTTAATATATTTTTTTTTTTTTTTATTTTTTTATTACATTTGTTACAAGTTTTTAATCATTGATTTATTTGATCTTGTGATGTTTTTTTTTATCACACTGCATGATCATTACAGGTCCTTTTTTACCTTATATTTTGTTTATTTACCATTTTATTATTTATTATGTTGTAATAAATGTGATTCTGATATTGTATATGTTTGTTGACCAATTGATTCCCCATATCATATAACCTTCTCAATCCCCTTCATTCTGGAGTTCGCCCACAACAGTCCACAGAAACTGCTCTTCTAAAACTCACAAACGACTTACTAACCGTTAAAACCAATGGTCACTATTCTGTACTCTTGCTCTTTGACCTCTCCGCTGCCTTTGACACAGTTGACACCACCCCCTCCTCAAAAAAAAACTCTATTTACTTGGTCTCCGTGACTGTACTCTCCGTTGGTTTGAATCTTTACCTATCTCACTGCACCTTCAGTGTCACTTACAACGCTACTTCCTCCTCTCCTACTCCCCCAAGATTCTGTCCTTGGACCTCTCCTATTCTCCATCTACACTTCTTCCTTGGGTCAGCTGATAGCTTCCAATGGTTTCCCAATACCATTTCTATGCTGATGAAACACAAATCTATCTCTCTACTCCTCAGCTCACCCCAACAATTTCCACATGTATCACCGATTTACTAACAGACATATCAGACTAGATGTCACTCCACTTTCTAAAACTCAATCTATCCAAAACTGAGCTCATAATATTTCCTCCCCCACGTGCCTCTTCCCCTGATTTCTCAGTAAGGATCAATAGCACCACTATCAACCCATCCCTGCATGCCAAGGTGCTAGGTGTCACCCTGGATTCTGAACTATTCTTCCAGGCCCACATCCAATCCCTGTCCAAATCATGCCGCCTCAACCTCCGCAACATCTCCAGAATACGCCCCTTTTTAACCAATGATACCACAAAGCTCCTAATTTCACTCCTTGGTAATCTCTCGACTTGACTACTGCAACTCTCTCCTCATTGGCTTACCTTTATATAGGCTATCCCCCCTCCAGTCCATCATGAATACTGCTGGTAGGCTCATCCACCTTACCAACCGTCCAGTGTCTGCTACCCCTCTCTGCCAATCCCTCCACTGGCCTCCACTCAGTGTCCTCCACCCCTCTCTGCCAATCCCTCCACTGTCCTCCACTCAGTGTCCTCCATCCCTCTCTACCAATCCCTCCACTGGCCTCCATTCAGTGTCCTCCACCCCTCTCTGCCAATCCCTCCACTGGCCTCCACTCAGTGTCCTCCATCCCTCTCTGCCAATCCCTCCACTGGCCTCCATTCAGTGTCCTCCACCCCTCTCTGCCAATCCCTCCACTGGCCTCCACTCAGTGTCCTCCATCCCTCTCTGCCAATCCCTCCCACTGGCCTCCACTCAGTGTCCTCCACCCCTCTCTGCCAATCCCTCCACTGGCCTCCACTCAGTGTCCTCCATCCCTCTCTGCCAATCCCTCCACTGGCGTCCATTCAGTGTCCTCCATCCCTGTCTGCCAATCCCTCCACTGGCTTCCACTCACTCAACGAATAAAATTAAAAAAACTATCAACAACTTACAAAGCCATCAACAACTCTTCCCCCAGCTACATCACCATCCTGGTCTCAAAATATCAACCAAACCGCTCTCTACGGTCCTCCAAAGACCTTCTGCTCTCTAGTTTCCCATGTCACCTCCTCCCATGCTCACCTCCAGGACTTCTCCTGAGCTTCTCCCATCCTATGGAATTCTCTTACCCCAATCTGTCCGGCTGTCTCCTAATCTATCCACCTTTAGATGATCCCTGAAAACCTTTCTCTTTAAAGAAGCCTATCCTGCTTCTACCTAGTAAACCACCATTTATTTCCTCCATCAGCTCATCCCCCCACAGCTATTTTACTTTTGTATCACTCAACCCTTCCTAGATTGTAAGCTCTGATGAGCCGGGCCCTTTTTTTTCCTCTTGTACCAAATTGTATTGTAACTGTAATATCTGCCTTCATTTTGTAAAGCGCTGAGCAAACTATTGGTGCTATATAAATCCTGTATAATAATAATATCTGCTAGGACCAAGGATTTTTATACACAAATATGTTTTTTAGACTCCTCAATAGGGTTGATGTATATACTTTTCTCTTTGTGAGTACTTCAATATTTGTTTTTTTACCGTTTTTATTAAGTCCTAATTTATGCAGGCACTTACCTCCAGGCCACAACAAGATGGCGACCGTGGCTTTATATATATTTATTTTTTTCCTATAATATATCCTTTTGGTACTTTCAAATATTCCTTGAGGCGTTTGTATTGCTTTATTGACTTCAGTGTCATTATATCCCCCCTTTTTTGGGTGTTTTTCCTGTACATCGGGACTCCGGTCCTTTCAGTTAGTGTTTGGTGTTTGCTGGTCTTCTTAAAAATGGTCCCGATTGCGCACGCACTCGGGGCTATATAATAGCTTGCATCACGTTAGTTGTAGGCACATCCCCTTGATAACTTGCATGTGCACGAAATGCATCAGAGAGGAGCCTGCTGTACTGACGTCATGACGCCGCATCCTCACGAAGGTCTGGCGGCCATTTTTACTATTCATGATACCAGTTCTTTGTGACCCACGTGGATGATTCTTTAATAAATAATACTACACTATAAGTGCTCCTGTTGTGGCTTGTTTTTGCGAACAATTTTTTTCCCCAAGGTGGATTGTAATATTTCCTGCTGGCTCTGTTTATGGTGGAGAGTTTTTCCTGAGCCCATCCTGTAATGCAGTGAGAGGCCAGTGGTGGTGCCGGAGTCATCCCTGGAAAGTTGTCAAGGACAGTGGTGTTTTCCTTGTCTCCATTCCATGATTTTCCTGATGGAAGTTTTCCATACCTGTGGAGGAGCTGGATACTGTATATTTCTATGCGCATTTAATATGCGCTTCTGGTGAGTGCATTCATATAGCAGTTTTCAAGCACAGAGTCACTTTCACCCGTTCATCACAGAGATTTTTTGGGATGTTTTTGACATTCATCCGAATTATCTCATCAATTTTATTTATATTGCACTGTTCACCTATGTCACTTTATATTTATTTGTTCATTTATTTATATTTATCTTCTCACTTTTAGGCAATCTCTGAAAACCTCTCTCTTCAGGGAAGCCTATCCTGCCCTCAGCTAAAATGGAATCAATCTACTCCTCCTACCAGTCCATCCCCCACAGTTATTACCTTTTGTACCACTAGCCCCTCCCTCCTAGATTGTAAGCTCCCAGGATCAGGGCCCTCCTAACCTTCTTGTATTGAACTGTATTGTTGCTGTATTGTCTCCCGTTATATTGTAAAGTGCTGAAGCAAACTGTTGGCGCCATATAAATCCTGTATAATAATAATAATATAATCCTGTATAATAATAATAATAATATATAAATCCTGTATAATATTAATAATATATAAAATCCTGTATAATAATAATATAATAAATCCTGTATAAAATCCTGTATAATCCTGTATAATAATATCATAATATATAAATCCTGTATAATAATAATAATAATATATAAAAACTCTGTTGTAATAATAATAATATATAAATCCTGTATAATAATAATATATAAATCCTTATAATAATATCATAATATATAAATCCTATAATAATAATATATATAAAATCCTTCAAATAAAATAATCTGTCAATAAATAATGTGCAACAGTAATATATAAATCCTGTATTCCAATAAAATATATAAATCCTGTATAACAATAATATCATAATATAAAATTAATAATAATTATTAACCACATCCTGTATAATAATAAATATATAAATCCTGTAAATAATATCAAATAAGGTATAAATCCTGTATTGCACCAGTAATAATAAAATATATAAATCTTGACAATAATAATGCTTAATAAAGTCCTGTATAATAAATCCTGTGCAATAATACGGGAATATTCAAAGTGATAAAGTGTACTTAATAACCTATAAAGCACAATAATCTAAAAATAACATCCTGTATAATATGTAATAATATATAAATCCTGTATAATAATAATATATAAATCATACACAATAATTCATATAAATGCCTGTGTTAATAATCACTGTGTAATATCCAATACTCGCTGCAATGGCAGGACACTCTAGCAATATTATTCTCTTTAGAGCCAATTCAGCGCCTTCACTTTGAGTATGTCCACTATGGTTTGTCACTTTATCCTCCCCAGCATTTTTGATGTAATGCTCTATACCCAGCTGCTTTTCCGTTTTTTCATTTTATAGGAACTCACAGGGACATCCATTTATGCCTGCTTTATGACAAACGACCACTTGTTGTATCTCAGAGATCTTTCCAACCGCTGTATACTCTATATTTTTTCTATCCATTAGATTCCCCAGGGGTTTTTAGTTAGACCTAGCTTGATTCATGGCCAATATCCAAGTGCACCTCCTTTTAGAGTGCCTTTCCTACTCTGAACCCTATTTGCAATGAGCACAGGGGGCTTCTTTGGACAGAGCATTGTCAAGTTGTGTACAATGGACTGACAGCGGCGCTGTTATCCCAATTTAAGGAGGTATCATTTATGCAACATTATTGGACATACACAGTCCTAAACACTGGATGACCTGCATGAAACTCGTGGAATTGCCCAAGGGCTTGGGGTCAGTAGGGGGCCCCATGAGATACCCTTGATACCTATTTCATAGGCTTTTTTTTAGAGTTTGCTTTATTAAGGACACAGGGTCCCTTTGATCCCCTATTCCCGTGGGGTGCACATGATTGCAGTCCGCCCCTGGTCCCAAAAACAAACAAATGAGACTTTGTCAAATTTATGTTTTAGGTGAATACAGTGCCAACACTTTAGAGGTGCAGCCCTTCAAAGATCGGGAAATCTGGATACTGATGGTTAAAGCAATTTATTAATTTTACTCTCATCGTGTTACTGTGGTACACCATGTATTTATTGTGGAAACACAATAGATTACAGTATATACTCACAAAGCAAAGAAGAATAACAGCAGAATAGGTATAGTGACATGTCCAATACAATAGCTGTGCCCTAATTTAAGGATAACTGACGCGTTTTTCGGGCAGGACAAACCCCCTTCTTCAGAGCTAAAGTGTATATCTGCTGGTCTATAAGTGTTGGATCAGCAGATATACACTTTAGCTCTGAAGAAGGGGGTTCGTCTCCCAAAATGCGTTGGATTATCCCTAATTAGGTCACAGCATTGTATTGGACTGTCATTGCGGACTACCTATTCTGCTTTTATTCTCCTTTGCTTTGTGAGTATATATCTATTTGTTTTCTCAATAAATACATGGTGTACCACGGTAATGCACGATGAGAGTGCGCCCTTGTTTGCTTTTTTTCACCAGAATAGGTCCCAAGACAGAGCCCTGGGGTACCCCACTTACAAATCCAGACCATTTGGAATATTCGAATCAAAAACAAAATAGGACACAACAAAAATAAAATAAAATAAAGCAGCTACTGTGCAATTGTGATACCAGTTGTAGATCACAGAATAACAGAAAAGCAGCGCAAAATTTAAAATAAATAAATAAATAAAAATCATATAAGAAAGTCCATAACAGTCCATATGTGAACAAATCTTCTATTTCCAAAAAGCTTAGCCACATGTGGATGTGCAAATACAAACTCTTGTAGTTAGAAAGTGCATATAGAAGGTTACTGTTCATCTGTCTAACAACACTGGTTTCTGTTAGCCACGAGGGCACACTCCTTTCTAACCATAATCTCTTGTCCATTATGCCCCCCCTCAGGGGCGGACTGACAACTCATGGGGCCCCCAGGCAATAGGGGATCATGGGGCCCCTGTGTCCTTGCCCAAACTCAAAAAAGCCTATGAAAAAGGTACCAGGGGCATCTCATGGGGCCCTCTACTGACCCCGGGCCCTCAGGCAGTGCCCGAGTTTCCAAATGGTCAGTCCGCCCCTGCCCCCCCTTCTCCATCGTACAGACTGAGGCAAACAATGCATTTAAAATACATGCCTACTATTTACTATTAATTTTTTTTTTCCCACGACCTCCCACTGCTACGATTAAAGCCTTCATAGGGCAGAAACGCGGGAGCATAGAGGAGATCTTGTTTTTTTTTATCTTGGATTAAAATAAAGTATTGCATGTGTCTCGGAAGTGGGTTCCAACTTTACTCATTACATTGAAGAATTCCATGTGTGTGCTCAATCAGACTTCTGTCTGGACAGTACCCAGAGGACAGTGAGCATGTGGCTCCAACGTCTGGTACCAGACCAAGCCACATGCCTTTCAACATTGGTGACTTTGGCAAGAACCTTACATGGGGGTGTCAAAGCCATTCCCAATTATTTGCTCTGTGATCTCACTCAGGATCCTGGCGTTGTGTTTACACTACAGCAGCCAGGAATTTGGATGGGCAAATGGCCACATTCGTTT